GACCCAGAGGCCTCCAAGATGGCCGAAGAGGCTCCGAAGACAGCCCCAAGAGCGGGCCCAGACGGAGGAACCGAACTGACATTTCGAGCTCTAGCCTCAGAGAGGTCCCCTGGAGGCCCCAAGAAGCCCTCCAAAAAAAGCCTAAAAGGCCCCCAAGTGACCCCCAAAAAAGCTCCAAGAGGCCCCCAAACGGCCCCGAAGAGGCCCCAAGAGGCCACGAACGCGCAGGCAAACGCCTGCGATGGCACAATACGGGCTGGCGGAGTGAGCGAAGCGATTATATATATATATATATATATATTTATATATATATACATAATACATACATCATACATACATACATACATACATACATACATACATACATATATATATATATATATAGAGAGAGAGAGAGAGAGAGAGAGAGACACATTTCCGAGGATTCCCTATGTGTGCTCATATGTTCATATGTTCTGGATGATCGCATTCCCCCCAAATTCACATAGATTCCAATATTTTCTTGGGATCGACGGTTACTTGTGTCTGTGTGCTTGTTCCCTCCTGAAGATAATAGGGGGTAACAACAAAAAAGAAGCTGGATCGGGGCGGGAGCGATGGCAGCGGCGGCCGAGCAGCGCCAGACCTCTGCTTGATGCGTCTGTTTGCAGCAGGGCGTCCGATGGGGGAGACGCCACCTGCTCGAAACAGGCGCCAAGAACAGCCAAGATCTACTCCATGGGGGGGAGGATGGGGTGGGTGTGCGAGGGCCAGCGCTGATCGGCAAAACAATGAATAAGGAAACGATCACCTTGCGCTGCCCCTGCAGCCCCTGCACCTGTGTAGAGGGAACCCACAAAAGACGCACGCACCCACCCACGCACATGAATACGGCTCCACAGTCCGCGAGGTCAACCTCGTGTTGTAAACGTTCGCGCAGGTCGAACTCTGGAAATCAACTTGGGTTTATGCACATGTATCACGTAGCCTCGTCGCTATCAGGGAGGTTTCGTGACCGACATTGTGCCCGAATATTTGTCCGTATGTTACCGAAACTTGCGCCCGAAAATTCCGACCGCGCCGGGGTGTAACTGGCATGTTGGGCCCGAAACCAAGACGAACTTCAACTTCGGTCACATTCTGCGGTCGCGCGACATCTTCGGCCAAAGCTTCGGCCACGATTTCGGTCACCGATTCTGTTCGGTCACCTCCCTCTTCGGCTGATAGGGGCGGGGTGCCATGACATGCAGGTCATCTTTGCGCCCCTGACTCTCACCATCGCTCGGACGTCCATTCCCTGTACATTTTTCGGTTTCGTGCGTATTTGCTTCGCCAGGTGAACAAGAATGCTCCTCGATTGGGAAGACAGAAGACATCATAAACATCAACATTTGGAGGTCCGCGCGGATTTCTCCGATCCGCGCTGGACCCCCTCCCTTCCTGGCACGCGGAGCGCGCCAGGGGCGGCGCCGGAGGCGCCGCCAACGGGGCCAAGCGCAGATCCAAGAAATCCGCGCGGAGCTCCGAAAGTTGATGTTTCTAGTTATTTCTCACATCCACAGTGGGGTTCTTGTTTTCTCTGGACACCCCGCGAAAGAACAGGAGCACTCCCCCCTTTTTCACACACATTCATGCGTTCACAACATCCCCATCATCACCACATCAGCATCCCTTGAAGTACTCGCACACGCTCTCATTATCCAACTCATTCACTCACTCACTCACCATTAGTACTCAGCACTGATCATCATCATCGTCTTCATCATCATCATCACCATTATGATAAACATCTTCAGCATCATCATTGCCATCATCATCATCATTTTCATCATCATCAGCAGCATCACTATTATCACAACACCATCATCAACAGAGCGTCGTTTGTGAGTGAATTGCGAGGACGTCTCAGGCGGGAGCCCCCTCCCTATGTGGCCCGCCGCTCATGTTTTTAGTTCGAGCGGGTCCTCGGAACCCTGTACCTGTCGTCATTTGTTCATCACTTTGGGGCCCCTGAGGCCTGAATACGGAGGACATATCAGGCGGGAGCCTCGTCGGTGAGTGGATTTCGAGGAAATCTCAGGCGGGAGCCTTCTCCCTGTGAGGCCCGCCGCTCATCTGTTTTATCCGAGCGTGTCATCGGAATCCTGTAGATGTCGACAAGCTCGGGCCCCTGAGGCCTGAACATGGAGGACGTATCAGGCGGGGACCTCGTCTGTGAGCGAATTGCGAAGACATCTCAAGCGGGAGTCCCCTTCATATGGGGCCCGCCGCTCATGTGTCATAGCCGAGCGAACCGTCGGAATCCTGCACCTGTTCTCACTTTTGGGTCCCTGAGGCCTGGACATGGAGGAAGTATCAGGCGGGAGCCTCGTTTGTGACTGAATTGCGAGGAGGTATCACGCGGGTTCCCTTTCCCTATGGGGCCCGCCGCTCGCGCTTTTTATCCGAACGGGTCGTCGGGGCCCTGTAAGTGTCGACAATTTTGGGCCCCTGAGGCCTGGATATGGAGGAAATATCAGGCGGATGGCGGCCGCGCTGTTCACCGCGCTGGACCTTCGCGCATGCCACGCACGCGGCGACACGCACGACGTGCAGGAGTCCACGTACAAGCGGCCGCGCCACCACTTCGGGCGCGGCCACATCGCGTGCGCTTCGGCGATTTCCTGCAACTGAAGCCCACGGACAGCATCGGCCCGCGGACGGACGTCAACGAACTCCTGGACGGCGGGTCCTACGAGTACGCGGAGCCGTCGACGGTAGAGCTTCAGCACGCCATCCAGGTCTTCTCTCAGATCCCCTGCGTTTTCGAGCTGAAATGCACGAAGCGCTTCGAGCCCAGGGGCCCTCTGATCAAGCTCTTGACCTGCACGCGCGAAGGCAAGCCCTTCACGCCAGAGGTCTGGTCCGCCTGGGAAACGACGCTGGCCTCGGACAACCACGGCGTCCTGGACCCTCGGCACCAGCGCGAGAACTTTCGACTCGGCTACGGCATGGGCATCTACTGGGAGACGCCGGTGAAGTGGATCAACACGCGCGTTCGTCGCGACGCGCGGCGTCTGGGCGTGCCCTGTGATTTCTTGCAGGCCGTGGACGAGTGCAACACGATTCATGGCGATCCCGACGAGGGCGGGCGTTTCCTGAACGTCCCGAACGCGCACCAAATGGGGGGCATCCACGGCGCCTTTCCGGCCCACGTTGGCATGGAGGTGCGACTCACGGCAGCGCAGGAAGAGCTGAAGAAGTTGGGCTCGTGCAAAAGCAACGGGCCACCATCGTATCCTTCGAGTTTCACCCCGAAGACGAGCAGCGGCGCGAAGAGTGCTCGCCGGGCCAGCTTTCCCGTCCCCCCTACCTACCGCCGGGAATCTGGCCGCAGACGCACGGCTTCAAGGAGTCTCCGATCTACCAAGAGGTCGCCGAGGTGCTGCTACAGGGCAACGAAGGCGACGACGACGACGACGACGGCGAGGCCGAGGCGCGGGCGAGGAGATTGCTCATGTTCAGGTCCAGCGAGCAGGAGCTCACGTGGCAAAGCTCGGGGCCGCACGCCGTGCGCCGCTCGGGGTTCACCACGACGCACGCGTCGTACCTCACCTCCACACTGTCGCAGAGCCAGACGCTGCGCCAAGGGACGAGGACGCTGGTCGCACGGGCATGTCGGACGAGCAATGGTCGGAGACCTGCTGACCCGGGTCAATCCAGACCCGGGTCAATCAGACCTTGCAGAATCCTGCGAAATCCGGCAAAATCCTGCACCCAAACCCGGGTCAATGCGAAGGATCCTGCAAGATCCTGCAGGATCCTGCGCCCAAACCCGGGTCAATGCGACCCTGGCCCTGCAGGATCCTGCAAGATCAAGCGCTCTGGCTGACCCCCGTCTGCACCGACCCCCGTCTCGACGCTCCCGAAATGGTGGCTGCACCTCCACGTCCCGCGCCACGCGCATGCGGAACATGCTGATCCTCCGGCCGCCACCGCGAGGAGCTCCTGAAGCGAGGGCCGCCTCGCTTCCTTGCGGCAGGCGTTCCCGGAGTCCGACGTCAGGGCGGACAGCTCCAGGGCAGAGGCGGAGCAGCTCGCGGCAGAGCTGGGCTTCGCGTTGCCCCCCGCCTGGGCCCACTCGGAGCCCGCGGGGTTGTGGTCTCGCGCGCCAGCGGCTCGCGGGGTTGTCCCGAAGGCCTGAGCCGCGGGGCTGTCCCCGACGGCTGCGCTCGGAGAACGCGCCCCTGCCAAGCGCGGCGGCGAGGGCGCCGAGGAAAATCTACGCGCGCGCCCCTGCCAGGAGGAAGGAGAGGTGCAGGACAAGAACGAGCGGGGCGGCGATGAGGAGGGGGAGAAGGAGGAGGAGGAGGAGGAGGTGGAGGAGGGCAAGGCAAAGGCCGAGGAGGAGAAGGAACATGAGGAGGAGAGGGAGGAAATGGAGGAAGCGGAGAAGGAGGAGGAGGCGGAAGAAGAAAAGGATGAAAACTGCAACGAGTAGGACGAGAAGGAGCAGGCGGAGGAGAAGGAGGAGAAGGAGGAGGAGGACAGAGAGGGCGGAAGGAAGCCTCCGCCAGACGAAAGAGAGAACGGCGATGGGGCAGGCCGAATCGATCCTCGTGCGGGGTCCACCGTCGGAGTGACTGCTCTTCGATCGGTGGCCCCCGCCGAGAGAGAAGCCACGCGTCCGAGCGGTGCCGAGGCGATGGGCTCCCCCCCGGACGCGCCTCGACTGTGCGGAGGAGGAGGAGGAGGAGGAGGAGGAGGAGGAGGAGGAGGAGAAGAAAGGAGGAGGAGGAGGAGGAGGAGAGGAGGAGGAGGAGGAGGAGGAGGAGGAGGAGGAGAGGAGGAGGAGGAGGAGGAGGAGGAGGAGGAGGAGGAGGAGGAGAGGAGGAGGAGGAGGAGGAGGAGGAGGGGAGGAGGAGGAGGAGGAGAGGAGGAGGAGGAGGAGGAGGGGGGAGGAGGAGGAGGAGGTGGGGAGGAGGAGGGCGGAGGAGGAGCGGTGCCGAGGCGCCGACCGTGCGCGCCTCCGCGCGCTCCGCCGGCGGCCGGCGGCGCGAGGCACACGCGGTGCCTCAGGGCCCGCACGCGGCCTGAGGTCAGCCGCTCCAGCATGTCCCCGGCGAAGACCAGCGCGCAGCCTGCCGTTGGAGGAGGAGGGGAGGAGGGAGGAGGAGGAGGGGGAGGAGGAGGAGGAGGAGGGGGGAGGAGGAGGAGGGGGAGGGAGGGGGAGAGGAGAGGAGGAGGAGGAGGAGAGGAGGAGGAGGAGGAGGGGGAAGGAGGAGGAGGAGGAGGAGGAGGAGGAGAAGGAGGAGGAGGAGGAGGGAGGAGGAGGGGGAGGAGGAGGAGGAGGAGGAGGATGAGGAGGAGGAGGAGGAGGAGGAGGAAGAGGAGGAGGGAGGAGGAGGAGGAGGAGGAGGAGGGGGAGGGGGGGGGAGGAGGAGGGCCAGGAGAAGGAGGAGGAGGAGGAGGAGGAGGAGGAGGAGGAGGAGGAGGAGGGCCAGGAGGAGGAGGAGGGCCAGGAGGAGGAGGAGGAGGAGGAGGAGGAGGATTCAAGCTGGGATTCAATCGGAGCAACAGCGTTGCGGGCCACAATGCCCCAGCCCACAGGGAGACAATTGGGGCAGTGGCTTCAAAGGAGGACGGCGCCTTCGGGGATTAGGGGGTTGGACCCGCGGGCGCATCCTGAGAGACCGTGAGAGCAGGGCCAGGATCGCTAGACGATCCAGCTCCGCTCACACTCGGACGCCCCTGTCGGGCGTCGAACTCATCACGAGCCTGCATCGCCATCTTTACAGCCTTAAGGGGGCCCGTCACGACGAGGGTAGAGTCCCTTCCCCAGACGGGCCAAGTTTTCCAAGCCTTTCCGACTCGGGCGGCATTCAGCGATAAGATGACGGGGGTCCACAGTAGCGTAGGCCCCACAGGTGTGACAAAAGGTCAGGAAGAATTGGTCCGCTCGGCCGAGCGAGTGCGACGGATGGACTTCAACTCCCTGCAAATTCAAACCGATACCCTGGGTGATCCTCTGAGCCCTGGGAGGGGGAGAAGCCTCAGGAGGAGGAGGAGGGGGAGGCAAACAGGGGCTCGAGCTCAACTCCAGGAACCTCGACTGGGGCACAGTCTGGAGACACGCCTCGCAAACCCACACAGAGTCAGGTGGAGGCGGTGGGCGGAGGCAGCGAGAGCTCGAGCTACTCTTGACTTCGGTACCGCTTTGATGGGCACCACTTCTCTCTCTGCCTTCGACGATTTGTCGGCGGCAGCAGCATCCTGGAGCGCACGACGGGCACGCCTCCTGATCATAGCAGCAGCAGAGTCGACCGCATCGGTCCGAGGAAGGTCCCCCACCGGCCCCCTCTCCCACGCCAACTCCGCCGCCCTCCCCGCCCAGATATCCGCAGCCATGTTACCCATGGCGGTGAGCATCTCTTGCTCACAGTAAAAACTCGCTCTCTCATCCGTGTGGGATGGGGTCCACCGAACCGTGAGCTGGCCAGGCCTGGATCTCCACGACTTTCTAGCACGCTCCCAGAGGTCCTCCTGGAGACGCGAGGCCCTGGGATTCTCAAGGATAAACTTCCAAGACCTGGCTATATTCTTATGGTCGGTGACGAATTCAACATTACCTGGAACATTCTCGAGCATGAGACAAAACGCGAGCAGCTCGGCCCTCGGGACAGACTGTTTCAGCCCGAGGAGAGGAACCGCAATGCCAGCACGCTCCTGAAACTAACCCTGCTCATCAGGCGCCAGGGCCACGATAGCAGCTCCACAGCGGCGACGACGAGGGTCGTCTGAGTGCTTCCCACCCGACCCGTCCCCGTACACCACCGTCCACCCCCCATCCTCACATTCGTGAAAAGCGCCTGGCAGCCTGAGCTCGAGCTCGGCCAGCAGCGCCTCGTCGAAGCGAGGCGTGGTCATGCAGACAGTGGGCACACCACGGAGCCAGAAAGTGGGCTGGCTCTCATACTGTGCTGTCGCCGCAGGCAGCAGCGAGGCCGTCTTGTCGTAGTCGTCGTGGTTGCCGTTGCACTCGCATGACCAAATCCTGTGGAACAGCGTCTCTGGATGCTTCTTGCACCGTGGGCAGGTGGTCGACTCCAGCATGTACCCGCAGAGATGCCTCCGAGTGCGGGTCCACTGCCCTCCAGCCACGACCGCCAAATTCAATCCATGTTCATCATGCTGGCCACGGGCCTGGCGACGCTTGAGCTCCCTCATGATATGGAAGAAGTCACCGCCACCAGCCAGACCCTCACCATTGTCATGCTTACTTGCATCTAACCACAGCGCCGAGCGGATGTCACCGATGAGGTCGTCGATCAGCTCCGTCGTAGAGCCGAAGTTCTCGAACGCCTCGTCGCCGCTCGACGGGATGTGCCACTCATCAACTCCAGCACTAGTCGGGCGGGTCCAGACCGTCGCAATCTTAGGATCCCACCCCACATCCATCAATGTAGCAATAACTGCTGAAATCGGGCCTCTGACAATGCTCCAGCGCCGTCTCTCCGCCTTCGCAAGGCGGCCCCGAATCGACGGCCACACAAGCCTGAGTCGCCGATGTAGCTGCGGCTGAGCCTGCCAGAAGCTGAGCCATTCCAGAACCAACTGCCGTCGCATCTCCACCGCAGGGTCCTTCAAACCGAACGAAGCCGCCAGTGTGCTGGTCAAGCAGCGCCCACCTTGGCCACCAGTGACGGCAGCAGCAGCCTGGCACCGCAGTGCCAGCAGGGCCGACGGGGAGGTGCCATGCACCTGGTTCCCGTAGGTAGACTGCGGGCACGCACCAGTCGCCCACAAGCAGCGGGCCTCTCGGCCAAGTGCAGCCATACGTCTGAGCCTCTTGATGCGCCCAGCTCGTCGCTGCGCCTTGACTCGCCTCGAGATGGCCTTGGCGCAAACTCTGCGCCTGGCGGCCGCAACGTCGACGCCGAGGTCGACGCCCTGCAATACTGGCCTCACAGGAACTCCTCTCGCACGCAACCTCTGCACCGACTTCTTGGCCAGGGAGGCCGACGAGCCAAGAATCACAGACTTGGAAGAGACAACCAAACGATGCTGCTTCAACCCTCGAGCCAAGGACGTGCCCACCACATCCATAGCAGGTAATACAGCTTCCGCAGAGCCTTCGCACCGTCCTACCGTATCATCAATGAACGTCCACAGTGACGCCGACGGGGCCTCCTGATGCACCCTCTCCAGAATGGGGTAGAGAGCCAGCTTGGAGAAGGGGGCCCCATGAGACGATCCAGCCACAATGCTGCGGGTAGGGAAGATCGCCTCGCTGAGCCAGCCGCGCTCGCGCAGGTAGCGCGGGTGGAGGTAGACCTGCACCTCGAGGCCCATGACCGTCGGACTGAAGCCGAAGTCCAGGCCGATCTGGAGGAGGCCCACCAGCGAGACGCTGTCGTAGAACTTCTCGATGTCCAGGAGGAGGACCAGGAAGCTGATCTGCTGTTCCTGGGCCGCCTCGTCGAGCGTCGCCCTCAAGAGGGCAGCGCGCAAGGCTGAAGAGCCACGCACTGCTGTGTCCCAGAACGCAGCACGCGCAGGGCACCATTGCGACGTGAAGGTCTGGCGAGCACGCGACCACAGCTTGACAGGCAACGGCACCATACCCAGCACACGGTCTCCCTCTCCCGACGGCTTCGGGGCAAGGGCAGATAGGGTGGCCGCCAACTGCAACGGCCATGCCTGGGCTGCCTCACATCGCTGGAAAAGGTCCCTGAGCTCCTCGAGGGCCTGGGTCGGCAGGCGGCCCAGGTCGCCAGCACCAAGCCCATCAACTCCACGAGCCTTCTTGTTGCCCGTGACTCGGATAGCAGCCTGAAGCTGCTCGCAGTGCAGCGGAGGGATGTCCTCCTCAGCTGCTTTGTGTCGTATTGCGCTCAGCGCTTGAATAATACTAGCTGGGGTATCCACTGCATCGCTCCAAATCTTGCCCCACTTCGTCGACTTGTTGGCCATGATCGTGATGGGGTCGGCCACCGCATTGGCGGCAAAGGAGCTGGGAGTGGTCACAACCGTGGCATCCTCAGGCCGAGGGCCGACAGGGTCACGAACGTGTCGGTGGAGGGCGCCAGGGGAGGTGCGCCACATGCGACGAACCCAGTCGGCGTAGGCCTTGCGAGTCTTGCCGATGCCCCTCGCCACCTCACAAGCTGCAACCGCCTCGACTGCCACCGCGACCTGACACAATCCCTCAACCACCTGGTCGCTGGTAAGACTGTGGACCCCTTCGTGTAGGGAGACAATCTGATCAAGAGCCGTCTTGGCTCTGTCTTGTAAGTCAGGTCGCTGATCCAAATGGTACTGTCGCAGATGCTGAACTCGACCAGCAGCACTGGCCAACGCACTACACATCTGCTCCTCATCCTTGTCATGGAAGAACATGGCCAAGGTCCTCCTGCAGAGTGTGTCCATAACCGACCAATGCTCAGCACCATCATATTTCCAATGGCCTCGCCCAGGCGACGAGACCGACTTCTTCCAAGTGACTGCAAACCCTCGGGCTCTGCCAGTGAAAGGCGCACGCTCCTGGGCCGTGAGGTTCGGGTCAAGGAGAGACTGCTCAACCTGGTGGACCCACTTGCCATAGTCTTGGGATAGCTGGTCGTTCCCCTCGAGGGCCCACGAGACGATAGGAAACTCGCTAATCATGCGCATCTCCGCCGTGAAGGTGTACTTCGGACAACCGCCTCCACCCGCTCCAGAGGGCGAGTTAGAGTTCCATCGATCCAGGCTGACTCCAAAGACATCGCCAGTCAAACCCTGAGGATCAGGTGGCTGATGGAGCTCGTGAAACGCATCTTGATGATCTGGAGGCAAGGCCTCCTTGCGCCTCTGAAGGGCTGCTTGCTTGCGCTGGTAGGTCTTGCTCTGCGGGTCAGGGGCCGTCGGTGGCCGATCCACAGCAGGGAGCGGCCGCGGCAAGACCAAAGCGCGGTGCCACCATGCCGTCGACGTGCCCTGTATCTCAACATGGAGGCCACAGTGGACCTTCCAAGGAACGGTGAGGACGGCCTTAACCGAGACTAAGTCTGCCACCGACACTGACGCCACCGCATAGTCTATGAGCGACCCCGTGCCCTTGTCACAGGTGAGACGGACATCTGGGAGTACGATTGTGCCTCCC